TCTTTGAAATTCAATAACTCAAAAACAAAAAAAAGGGCATTCTGAAAATTTACATGCCGATAGGAAAAAACCTCAGCTTTCGTTTGCAATAATTTATTTTAAAAAAAAAACGGACCGATTTTTGGGAAATTGAAAATTAAATATAAATTATCAAAAATTAGGGTAAATTTTTAAAATATTAACAAATAAAATACACCATTGGAAAGAGGACGAAAAAACCTTTCAGAAACATATTCTAAAAAATTTTTCCCATTACAAGTATGTTCAGAAAAAATTCACAAAGTAGCCGATGTTGGCAAAATTGGTCAAATTGACCCCCCTCTACCCCCTCCAATTTTTCGAAAAAATCAAAAATATTTTTTGGGTCACATTTCTACTTGATAGAACAACAAATTCCTCGAGTTTCAATTTTTTTCAAGAAGTTGAAATTTCAACTTAGGACATTTCACGTAAAATGCCTCATATCTTTATGTTATTTGACCTCAGGAGCTCAAAAATGATATTATTAAAAAATGTTATTCCGTATGTGTGTGTGTGTGTGTGTAAACATTACATTTTCATAAATATATCGAAATCATGAAGAGCTTTTGGGTTAAATTTTTTTTAAATTGTAGATCTCACCTGTGGACATAAATTAAGAGTACTTTCTGATATATTAATAAAGTTTAACAAAATTTTGTTTTGATTTTTAATTTTTCAAAAAAACGTTTTTTGCCCATAACTTAAAAAAAATGTTAGGACACCTATAAATGTTTTTCCATAATTTTGTAGAGTTTTTTTAGACGCATCTTTTGAGCCCTAATTCAAAATTTTTCGTCCATATTAGCCGAAGTTATTAAATTTTTAAAAATCAAAAATTTTGGAAAATAAGACTTTTTTGAAAATTTTGTTGAAAAACGTAGAAGTAACTTTAAAATTATCGTTATCAACTTGTACAGCATTAAGGGGTTAAACCACTCTAGAGCGTCAAAAAGAGGTTCTAATTTCAAAATTTTTTTTAAAGAAAAGTTTAAAAGTAATGAGAAATATGTTTACATATCTCTATCAGGTACACTTTAAAGAGAAAAAAATATACTTTATAAATTTTTTTTGTTTAAAAACTGCAGATGTACATGTACGTGATGGAAACTCTTTGTAAAAAGAAATCCTTCGCGGCCGGAAAGGTTTTTGGTACAATTTTGATCCTAGAACAAAAAACAAATTTTTTTCTATTTTTACATCTCAATAGCTAGAGAAAGACGTAGGGGATTTTTTTTATGTTTCATATTTTTTTAGTTATAAACAATTTAGTGCCTATTTTTTCAGTCAAAAACTCAGTTTTTCCATAAAATGTTCACCATTTTTGCAAAAATCGATTTAAAAAAAATCCCCTACGTCTTTCTCTAGCTATTGAGATGTAAAAATAGAAAAAAATTTGTTTTCTGTTCTAGGATGAAAATTATACCAAAAACCTTTCCGGCCGCGAATGAATTCTTTTTACAAAGGGTTTCCATCACGTGCATGTACATCTGCTGTTTTTAAACAAAAAAAAATTTATAAAGTATTTTTTTTTCTCTTTAAAGTGTAGGGGAATGTAGTCAAGGTTGGCTTACTGTCTAGGTAGGCCACTCGCGTTTTTTTGTCAAGTTCACTAGCGCCACCTACGCGCATTTTTGTCGAAGCTTGTCTTAGTGAAACCTAACTTTTTGTTCAATTACATTTTCGGAAAATCGAAAATTGTGTTTTCTGTGACGTCGGTACAAAAAAAGCTGAGAAAAAGTTTTGTGCATAATGTGAAAAACCATTAATAAAAGATAAAAAACAAATTGAATCGTCAAGGCAAGTATGCAGAAAATTTGTGGGACTCATGGTTGAAAGGAAAACAAAGTAAAAAATTGAATCCCGAAACGTATTTCTTTATGGTTACAACAATTCGGTAATGTTACTTACTGTCAAGGTCGGCCACTATGTGTTTAAAATGCGCAAAGTTGAGGACGAGCTACTTCATTTGCAAAAACTGCAATTCTGTATAACTCATAATATAATTGATCATCTTATTAATATTTTTATTTAATTTTATTAATATTTTAGTGCAAAACTTTTTTTTATTTATATTTATTTTTTTATATTGTTTATTGTTATTATTTTGTTATTTCATTAAGTTACAAACTGTAAACAATAAAGAATCAATTTTCCGTAACTCCAAACATGTTATTTTATTTTTTAACGATTAATGCCCTTTGAATTTTAAACATGGCCAACCTTGACTGTAATGGCCAACCTGGACTACAAATTTTTTTTTTTAAATCTTTATAACTTTTTCATTTTTAAACCTGTCAATTTACTTTGTACAGAAAAAATGTTCCTATTAAACAGGACTTTCCAACCATATACTTCAATTGTCCAAATTCATTTTTAAAAAAAAGTTATAAACAAAAGTCAAAAAGGTGGCCGACCTAGACTATGTTCCCCTACCTAATAGAGATATGTAAACATATTGTTCATTACTTTTAAACTTTTCTTTAAAAAAAATGTTGAAATTAGAAGCTCTTTTTGACGCTCTAGAGTGGTTTAACCCCTTAAGAAACGCTTTGATTGACTTATTTTTGAACCTAATTCGATAATAAATTTCAAAATTATTGGTATTTTAAAAACCAAAAATTGTTAAACATGACATTTTATCAACTTTTTTGTTTAAAAATTTTTATTTAACAATTAAATTATTGTAACTATTTTGTAGGGTATTTAAAAATACATTGATTGACTCAAAATCCAATCACTTTTACCATATTTATAAAAAGTTATTCATATATTTCTATTATTTTTATCTCCATGAGGAAGTAAAGTGTTCATGAAATGAGCACCAAAATTATAAAAAAATATACAACTTCAGAAAAAATATTGAATTGACATTAAAGAATTTTTTAATATTATTGTTATTCGAATCTTCTGGAAAAAAAATATTAAATTTCAAGAAAAAAATTTGCAACTTGCAAAAATTGTTTATTTAATCATTTTGCATATGATCAAAGTTTTCTTCATATTAAAAGGTTAAACTTTTTCAAAACTGATTCGATTTAAGTCAATGATGGCTTATTTTCTTCAGAAAATGGTTCTCTATAACTTGACCGCTCAGATTTATAAACAAATACACCGTTTTGAAAAAATGCTTATTTGTTTAAAAAAATTTTTTTCAATTAAATCACTTTTTTTAAACAAATAAGCATATTTTAAAAACGGTGTATTTGTTTATAAATCTGAGCGGTCAAGTTATAGAAAATCATTTTTTGAAGAAAATAAGCCATCACTGATTTAAATCGAATCAGTTTTGAAAAAGTTTAACCTTTTAATATGAAGAGAACTTTGATCATATGCAAAATGACTGAATAAACAATTTTTGTAAGTTTTAAATTTTTGTCTTGAAAATTTATATTTTTTCTTCCAGAAGATACGAATAACAATAATATTAAAAAATTCTTTAATGTCAATTCAATATTTTTTCTGAAGGTCTGCATACCTGTAAACAACCTCCTTAAGTAGGGTAGGGTGAGGCATTACTATTCTTGTTTGGATTTTTGAGTCTACAAAATTTATTTTAAAAAACATAAAAAAATGAGTAGGACCGTTTAAAAAATTGACTTCTTAGCTACAATTTTTCCATGTATTATTTTGCTGTAACTCGATTCTGTTCCGAACTACAGCGATTTTACGAAAAAAAAAATTTTTGATGTCGAAAAAAACGAGGGATTTTTATTTATTCTTGCAGCTATTAATGATATAGTACTAAGAAAATATAGAAATTAATTTGTTAATTGGAGGATTTTTTCTGGTTTTTCTCTTCCAATTTCTTACCATTCTAACTTAGAAACAAGCACATAAAAAATACACTGTTTCGTAGTTTTCGCTGTCATCAGTAGGCTAATAGTTACGCCCCATCTGCCCATTGTTTGAAAAAACACTTGTATAATTGTTGAACAATAGAATATCAAAAATTCATTATGATATTCGTGTTCAGCACTAAATTTGACTTTAGAAATAATTTTTCCGACCGTTTATCACTAATTACAATGGCAGACTAAATGAGTGAAAACAAGTAAGCGAGTATATATCAAAATCACATTTGGGTACCTAACTCCTATGATAGATGGCGCCAGAAGCTTAAATGTGGCATACAATGTTCATTTCACATGACAAGTATACAGTGTAAAAAAAACTTTAATCGGATGAATAGTTTTCTCTCTAGGACTAAAGAATAGTTACGCCCCGCGAATAGTAATGCCCCACCTTACCCTATAATTAATTTTATATATTTATTTAATCTTACACGGGTTCAAACGATCCCTTTTGTACAGAAGTACTAACATTGTGTGCATGGCAAGTATAGCCATGTAAAAATAATACAAAAAAGGTATATATATAAATCGCTAGGTTTATATAATCTATTAGTTATTATATATAGTTAATAAAAGTTGGCGTAGACTAGACGTGAATCTCAGAAGTGATATGTTGAAAAAATCCATTGACTCAGATATAAGATTAGCTTCTTTACTTAATCTGTTGATCAATGAATTATTACTCAAAATTATTTTTTTGAGTACACTGAGAGAATAAAAGTACAAAATCCGTACTGTGACAAACACCGGCCGTGTAAAATGCGTGTCAGTGTCCGTTTCTTAATTTTATTTAGTTGGTGTCATTCATAGTTCAGATACTATGCTAAAGCAGCGCGGCGGCGGTACGAACTAATTAGTACATGATGCTGCGTTCAATTGGAGTACAGATGCTGAACTTTTCCATTTCAGAATCTGTGCTTTTCTTCTCTCAGTGTGGTTATCACAAACACGGGAACATTTATAACCAAAATCATCTGCCAAAACATAAATTGCAGAAAAACAAAAGACGACGCTTTCTGATCACGGAATAGCAAATTAGTATTATGTATGTATAATAGTATTTTTTATCCCACATAAATTGAAATTTCAAATGTTAATTTTGCCATTTATTTTTTATTTTTAGTCGATTCAATTCTTTTACAGATTTCGCATCTTAATCATCCTCGTCATGATTAATCTGCATCATCATCATTAACGGTTTTTTAGCAGGCTGATTGGATCTTTTTTGAAGATTCACCAACCTTTGCTTAGTTTTTCTTTTTTCTGCAACTTCCTGCAAAGAATTATTATTATTATTATCCCACTGTTCTGATATCAGAACATGCGTAACGCATTTTTACCACTACCTCAAAAATAGTGTATTAAGCAACAAGGATATAAAGGCAGCCATTTATTTACGGTGATTTTTGTGACACGAGAGAAGGTCGAAGGCGCCCCGAGAGTGGAACAAAAGTGGCGATTTCAGATAGCAGGCGACAGAGAGTAAAAATCATTAACTTGTTCGACTTGTATGAAAATGGCGGGCCGTTTTCTCCCATGGGCAAAACTAACGCATGGGATCAGCTGTTATTTTTGTACATGGGAGAAAACGGACGCCATTTTTATACGGTCGAACAAATGAATAACTTTACAACCTGTCGTAAGCTATCTAAAAGCGACATTTTTGTGCATGTGGGATAAAAAAATATTATTATTATTAATATAAGTTTCAATTAAGAGGACTTTCTTGTGTAGAACTTTAAAAAAACAAAATTTTTAAAATTCTTTTTATAAAAAATGTATTATAGTTATTGCAAAAATTCCTTTTGGATATTATTAAATATTTACAAGAGAATTAAATTTTTTTTAGGATTTTTAGTTCATTTTTGCAACTGTAGGTGGCGTCTTCAAAAAGGTGCCTATTATAAGAGTAAAACTATATTTACGGGCAACCTATTTTAAATAAATTAAAAATTCAAATGAGATTTTCTTTATACATAAGTGTTTTTTTCAAGACGTCAAACTCACTTTAAAGTTATATTAGTGTTACATTTTTCTTGATTGAAAATTTATTTTTACTTATTGCAAATTAAAACCAGCGTTTATTATAGTACATTGTACAACAAGAGAGGTAAGTCTGAGTTTAGGTGCCAAACACAATATTAAAGAACCGAGTCGTAACACAAGCCTGGCATTATTACATCAATGTTGCTAGTACAGTAAATTGTGAGGCATTAAAAAGCGTTGCAGATTAAATTAACACCAAAAAATATTAAAATAATCCATTCTGGTGTTATTTTTTTACTATGAATGAAATTTGACTTCAAATAAAAACCAAGCCATCGATTTGTCAAAGAAAATTAAAGCGAGTCTTAGTCAAAGTATTAGTCAAGTCTTAGTCTAATCTCGGGCCAAGTCTTAGTCTAATAAGTTTAATCTCGCTCCAAGTCTAAGTCTTTCTCTGAGTCTGGTTTGATTTTCTTTTCTTTAACAAATCGTTGACTTTGTTTTCATTTCAAGTAAAATTTCATTCATAGTAAAAAATAACACCAAAATGGATTATTTGAATCCTTTCTGGTGTTAATTTAATCTTAGAGGGATTAAACTGTTGCAGATTATTTTAATCCATTCTGGTGTTCCAAAAGGACATAATGTTTAGGCAACATGGCCTAAACATTGCTGAGCAATATTAAGGTTAAATGTTGTGCCATATCAGATTACACCGGCACACAAAAAAAACTTGGATCCTAGTCGAAAAAATAGAAAAAAAGAAAATAAATAAACACGGACTCTAATTTTACAAAAGTCAAAAACTTTTTGAGATTATAGTATCACAGAAATGCGATTAAATTTTAGTAAAACATTTACAGTAAACCATTTCTGGATTATGAAAAATTCAGATTTAAAATTAGCGACTAGAGGAAACACCTAAGTACCAAGAACCAAGAAAATCTAAGAACAATTTCATCGTAAGTCGTATTGGATACACCATTTTGAAATTTTAAAATCCAACATCAGATTCGTATTCGGCGACCTCGAAAATCCCCACGGAGTAGAAGTTTCAATCGATTTCATTCATTTAATTAATTTTTTCCCCATATTGGATCAGCCATATTGAATTTTTATAAACTAACATCATATTGGTAATCAGCGACCCCGAAAACCCCCGAGTAACGAGTGTCAAGTAAATCTGAACAATTTTTTTTAAATGCACCATTTTAGATCTGCCATTTTTATTTTTTTCTATATATTCAATTCTTATGTTATTAAAGTCACTGAATCTCAAAAAAAGATTCAGAAGAAGCAAAAATTCAGCTTCATTTATAGAAATTAAGTAAATTCCCATAAAAATCAGTTTCTCAAACATCACTCCCCCACCAAGCCTGTAAAAAGAGAACACGAACTAACTTTTAGGTTGGACAATGCTTTTCTCTTTAGATAGGGGCGACTAGGTGCAGTTGTTACAATTTTGATAAAAACAGTTACTGTGCTTAGAGTTTAATTCCAATTTGTTTGGTCAAACGATTTAATCAAAGGTACATTATCTAGTTTTAAAAGGCAATAATATTTAGCTCTATATCTATTATTTAATTAACTAGAATCATTCGAGTGACAGCGTGTAAATTGTAACAACTGCACAAAGTGAATGTCGGTTGTTACAATACCAAAAATCATCTATAAAATTTCTAAATTGAAGACAAATAATTTTTTAAAACCATTTTTATTAATTAAACAGCCACACACAAAAAATAAAGTGTCTTGATCTGGGGTCGAGACATATATTCCGATGTATTTCAATGCGCTGAATCCAAATCCGCCCTCAAAATTTGGCCAATGGGTCCTGGTTTCGCCCTAACCTCAAAAAATACCCTAAAATCGTTAAAATGGTCACTTTTGATTTATCAAAATTGAATCTACCCGCATGTTGATAATTTTCTAAGATCTCTTAATTTAAATAAACTATTCTATAAGCTTTTCAATTCAAAATTTATATAAAACATTAAATCTATCGAACGTAACCTCAAAAACACATCTAAGATTCCAAACAAACAAATTATACCATACACAGCACAATAAAAATTATGTAAGCTCATGAAAGTTACAACTTAGGTGTTTTTATGATTGCTGATTACGAATCCGGTGTTAGTTTATCAAAATTCAAAATGGCGGATCCAATATGGCGAACAATATAATTAAAGTTTGTTTGGATTGGCTTGAAAATCGTTACTCGTGGGTTTTCGGGGTCGCTGATGACGAATCACGGTGTGCCTAAAGCAACTTTAATTGACAGTGTTTTGTATATCAGATTTTTTGTGGTATATTTGAAAAGTTTATGAAATTTCCGACAAATTTCATTTGTCATATTATTTTCTAACTTGAAATATTAAAGGAGAAAAACGGTTTTGAAAAGTCACTGTTTTCAAAAACATTAAATTTCAAAAATTAATAACTTCCGTAATTTTCATCAAATCACAAAATAAAAAAATACGTATTTATTTTTTTTCGATACAGAATCCAAAAAAAATTATTCCAACGAAATCAAATTTTTTAATAAAAATATTGTGGAGAATGCCCTATATAATTTTTAAACATATTGCAGTAAGTTCGTACATAAAAACTAAACATTTTTCTCTTTGTGGAACACCATCTCTATAACTAACTGTTTCTGAGATATTCCATTTGTAACAACCGCACCTAGTCTCCCCTACACCTTAAGGATGAAAACCTACCACATGGCAGTCCTGGCAATCCAAATTTTTTTTTGTGTGCCGGTGTTATTTTTATGAATTTATTATTATTATTATTATTAATATTTACATAATCTTCGTCGCTTTCATGTTCCTCCTGTGTTTCCACGACCGCAGGAAAATGGGTCCTCTTACGGGTCAGCCTACTTCTGGCACTAGAGGCAGCTGTGAAAGTAAAAAAATTTAAATTAATCATGCGCTTATATTAAAAAAATTAATTTATTTATAAAAAAAATTTGTTTAAATTAAAAATTCATATTATTTTATATTACACCGTTCGACACGATTTTGCACCCATGAAGGAATTAAGGATTTTCGGAAACTAGAGTCAAAAAAGATACCCGTGTTTGACCGTTTTTCGAGATCAAGAAACAGGGTCATGTATTGGAATTTTTTAAAAGAAATATCTCCCAATATATAAAAATTAAGTATAGTAGACAGGGTTATTTTTAGAATTTTTTTGAAAAAATTTGATTTCTTTCCTTTTTAGATTACAAATATGACATCCTATCACCCAGTGTGCACGTACTGGAAGAATTTTGGGACCGTTCTAGAACTATTCTTTTTTTCCATTAACTGTTCTAGAACAGTTCAAGAACGTGCACACTGGGCAGGTTTGCTATATTTTCCGGTCATCTACACGAAAAAATGAGTATTTGTACCGACTTGTAGCTCACTAAGTCATGATATGTAGAAGTTAAGTATGCGGACAGGGTCATTTTTTCGAAAAAATTCAATTTCATTTTTTTATGGTTCGTAAATTTGACCTGCAATCAGGTTCACTATATTTTTCCTGTAGGGGAGACCGAGAAGTAATGGTTCACTTTTTGTTGCTTAACTTCGTTCATTTTTGTATTAATTAAAATTTTATCATATGGAAATCTTAGCCCAACATCTCAGCTTTTAATTCAGAAAAGTACTTCTTAATATCAATTATACTTTTTTTTCTAGAAAAATCTTTTTGGAGAAATTCAAGGTTTCTCAAAATATATTGCTATAATTTTGACAATTTTTGTTTCTATACCTACTGTAAATTGATAATAAACAATATTGAAAATGGAACATATTTAATTAGAAGTTTAAAAATTTTCGTGAAATAATCAAATTTTAAAAAGTTGGAGCGAAATACAAACTACATTTATTTAAAAAATCTAATCTCCAGCCTTTTTTAATAAAGGGTTATCATTTGTACTTATTTATATAAATTAAACGAACTTAAACTTGACAGGATTATTTTATTAACAATTTAAAAATAATAGGTTTTTCTTAGTAGAATAAACGAGCCAATATGTCCTGGTCAAAGTGAGCCCTTCGTCCTGGTCTCCCCTAATCAACAATGAAAAAAATATTGTTTCCTCTTATTTTAAGGGGAATATTCTTAAGTGGAGAATAACACAGGCCGAAAAAATTTTGGCGAATCTCAAAACCAAGAACCGGACAATACATTTTTGGACTCCTGTACAATCAAGAGAAAATTTTTTTTCTAAAAGTTATTTGCGGCATCTGAAATTAATATTCTTCTCCTTTAAAAAGTCTTTTGAAACTTGAAAAAATCTTTATTTTTCACTGAGATATCGTCATTTGAAGTTTTTGAATCTGGTCAGTATGCGAATATTGACAGATTACCCACATTCTAAAACTTCAAATGACGATATCTCAGTGACAAATAAAGATTTTTTCAAGTTTCAAAGGGCTATTTAAAGGAAAAGAATAGTACTTGGTTCTGAGATTCGCCAAAATTTTGTCGGCCTGTGTAATTCTTTAAAAATAAGAGGATTATTTCTGAGCCATATACAAAAGGAAAACATGCTTTGAAATAAGGTAAAAGCACCAGTACTTGGACACTTTTAAAATAGTTTTGCTACTTTTTTAAAATTAATTATCGAGTGCAAAGTCTGTATTCATATAATAGATTTTTATTTGTTAAAATAAAACTACCTAAAATTAATTGAGACAAATAATTTTTATTTTTATCTAACATTTATTTATTTGAATTAAATAATAAATTAATAGTTTCAAATAAATCATTTATTATCGTTTCAATAAGAGATTTATTTGATCCAGATATTTTTCTATTTGTTTCTATTAAATAATTTATTAGCATTAAATAATGCATTATTTGCATTAAATAATTTAATTTACTTGAAACCATAAAATGAATTAATTGCGTCGAATAATTTTCATTAATATCAAATATCCAATTAATTGAATGAAATAAATAAATTAATTGTTTCAAATAACTCATTATTTTGGTTTCAATAATTTTTTTAATTGATCCAAATATTTTTATTTGTTTCCAAATATTTTAAACTAGGGTCATTTGGGGTAAATGTAAACGGAATATCTATGTTTCACCAAAAACATTAGTTTTTTTTGTTAAAAGGTGAAACGGACGGATTTTTTTTGCATGAACTTGTTGCTAGTGTTCCCTAGAAAAATTTTATGAGGTACAAAGAAATATTGATGCACCTGAATCGCCTAAAACTGACTGTTTACATTTACCCCGAGATTTTGAAATTTTCCTAAAATTCGGGGTAAATGTAAACACCACTGTAGTTAAGCGAGGTTTGAGTTATTTCAAGTATACTACTGTTTTAAGGGATGGAAAAACTGAAAAAAAATTCTTCGTAGATGTATAGTAAATCAACTAGTTGACTGATAATGTATCATATAAAATAAACAATCAACTATTACAAAATTAGTAATGTAAAAACTTGAATAACTTGAACAAATTTTAATAGATTTTTATTCAACTTGGTAAAAAGAAGTTTTTAAGGTTGCTGAATAAAAATCTAAAATTGAATTTTTAAATTTCAAAATGGTGGATCCAATATGGCGGATGAACCTAAAAATAATATTTTTTAAAATTGATCAAATTTGCTTGAATCTGGCTACTCGGGGGTTTTTGAGGTCGCTGAATACGAATTTGAAGTCTTTTTAATTTTTAAAATGGCGGATGAACCTAAAAATATTTTTAAAAATTGATCAAATTTTCAAAAAAAAAAAATTTTTTTTATCAAATTTTTTTTTTCAAAGAGGACCTAATTTCCTTTTCTATGTAATATTTACATTGACAAATTAATGAAATTGTGAAATAGAAGCAAATTTATTCAATTATTTTCTTTTAAAATGTAGTTCAAGTTCTGTTTACATTTACCCCGAGTTTTCGAATTCTCGGGGTAAATGTAAACACTTAATTATTTATTAAGTAAATTGACAAAAATCAAAGTCAATTTTTGCTAGGGCATTAATAAGGAAGAATTACATATTTTTGTTTGATTTTTAAATTTATTTTTATGCAAATGCGAGACAAAATACTGAAACAGTAAAATTTTGATTTTCAATCATTTTTGCATTAAAAAATAACTTACACTATGGCATTGCCAATTGTCAAAATAAAATATTTTCAATACTCAGAACATCTTGTAGGTGAGCTGAGGTAAAAATATTGACGTCGTACTTATTTTTAAATTTCTAAATTTAGCTGAAACATCTACTGTTAACATTTACCCCTTGTTTACATTTTCCCCAAATGACCCTAAATAACTTGAATTAATTGAATTAAATAATTTTTTTTAGTTTATACAAATAAACATATGTTCACCCCACGTGAAACGATTCTACGGAAAGCGCTCTACGGAAATTCTGTACGGAATTCCGTAAAAATTTCCGTACGGAAATTTTGCAAATATTCCACATTGTATATTTTTGTAGAGTTTTTGATCAATTATAAAAAACTGTTACCAACTCTAATTGGATTTGGTAACAGTTTAACATTTTTTTATCAGAAGGATTGTTTTTCGTGTGAAATTGATAAGAAAAAATAAAAAAATGTAATAAGGAAATATTAAAAAGTATAAAAACTGTTACCAACTTCAATTGGAGTTGGTACCAGTTGAACAGTTTTCTATCATCTAAGGATTTTTTTTCGTTAAAAACTGATAGAAAAAATTGAAAATTAAAAAAAATAATAATACCTATAATATAATGACCAAACATAACTAAATAAGACAAAAAAAATATACTTACTTTTTTCGATAAAAGTAATCTGGGCGTCGCACCACTTACGCTTGTCTTTAAGACACTTCACCTTATAAATTTTGCTTTTATCGAAATCACTCCCCTGCACATCAACATCTTCCAAAGGAAAAATGATAGGCCTTTTCGTGTGCGTTTGGCTCTCATTAATGAACTTTACGCAAGCGAACATTTTATTAATATATTTATAACCAAACTTTTAACTTCTACGATGATTTTCATTTGTTTTTCATAGTTCATTTAAAAAACATGGCGTACAATAACTTTTTCCCCCCGGGTAAAAATAATTTGTACGAATTTAATAATAACTAATGACATTAATTAACAAAAATAAATTTAAATTATTTGTTAATAAATGATTATTTTTGACACTGAAAAATTTAGTGCAAAATGTAATAAAAAGAAACAGAAAAAAAAATTTCAACCGACCCGGGAGTCGAACGCAGACTTCAAATTTACAAGTCAGTTATGGTCGACATTGAGCCATCTCAAGTGATGTTAACCTTTGCAGTGATGAAATATTTATGTGAAATTCATTTTGACAGGCCAAAAAAATTGATCCTGAAATTCATCAACGGATTAAGTTCAGGATCAATTTTTTTTCAATTTATTAATACACTGAAATTGAAAGGAAATTAAAATTTTTTTTCACTCATTAAATGATTTTAATCAAAAGTAATTGTTTCTAATGAAGAAAGAAGAAATAAATTTGCAATGATAAAAAGCGCCGCGAGATGGCAGCTGCTGATGGACCATTAGAAAAATATTTGTTCATGAGTATGATATTGTAATTAATTTTCCAACATAATTAATTAATTAAAATTAATTAATAATAGATAATTTGAAGAATTAATAAATAATTAAATTAATTGACAATAATTATTAAATATTCAAATATTTAATGAATTTTTTTGATCAAATAATTAATTGTTTAATTATTTATTTTAATTAAATAATTAATGAATTGTCTAATTCTTATTCCAATTAATTAATTTTTTTGTTCAATTAATTAATGGTTTAATTATTTATTCTAATTAATTAAATTAATAATTATTAAAGATGGAATATTCAAAAAAATATTTAATCAAAGAAAAAATAGGGGAGAGTGAAGCAAACCGGCCAGGTGTCAATATCTCCGACATGGCGAAATTGTCAAAAGTGCTATTTAGAAATTTGAAACAACCATGTGTAGTATACCTTATTTTTTCAATTTGACAATTTTTACTTTTGTTTGTGCAACGCTGGAAGCAAATGTATTTTTTTTAGTTTTTTTCTACACTTTTACGAATTTTTTCTTAAGGAAATTCTGAGGAAATCGTGTAATATTTCCAAATATTAGGTCTTGGGTTTTGAAGGTACACACCTCAGGAATATTTACCACCAAAAACTTTTATAAATTTGCAAAGCGTTTCTTTTAAAAAAATATTTATTCTCAAAATGAGCCTGTGGGGCAAACCGGCCATAGGATATTTTCATTGTATCAGAGTTTCAAAAAAATTATTATTAATTAGAATGTTATTTTCATTAAAATATTTACTTTCAATGAGAAATAATTATCTTCCAATGAGAATTAGACCCTTTAATATTGTTTCTCTGATAATTTCAAACATTTTTTTTGTTATTCAAAAAAATTATTTATTTAATTAAAATTCAATCCTGTATTATTATTTACATTATTACAAGCATTGTTCGCATGATTCTTTATGTTTGTTGTTATTGTGGATTATAAAAATACAATATTACAGATAAAAAACCCAACTGACCGGTTTGCCCCATGGGGGTGGCCGGTTTACCCCAGGGGGTGGGGCAAACCGGCCCGTTTGCAAATTTTTTTAAAGTTAACACAGCAACTAAACAATAAAAGATAAAGTATAGGTGCCTCTGGGAAAAAGTTGCGCAAATGATCTTTCAAACAAGCCATCGAAAAATAAAATCGGTTGATTTGTTTAGTCACAAGAGTAAGAAAAGTGTTACTATGGCTGGTTTGCCCCACTCTCCCCTATTGAATTTTCTTTTTGAATTTAATTTACTAGAAAGAAATTCAATTTACTAATTTTAAAATTTAATTATTTATTTTATTTAAATATTATTATATGAATTAATAATTAATTAGTTACTAATAAATAATTTCTTTACACACAAAAAAAAGGTTGGATAATACATCCAATTTTTATTGGATAGAAGGAAATTAGCTGTTATATCTATGTAAAATCATATATGAACGGCGTTGGTTCCAGTGACAATTTTAAATTTATACTTATGATTAGTCATTATATTTATTTAGTTGGATACGGTTTTCAACGAGTTGGATGTAGCAGCCAACTGAAATTTGTAAGTCCCGATTCCTATGATGCTCATGCGCTGTCAAGAAGTTGCGACTCGATTCCGACAATTTCGTGCGTGAATGTGAACTGTCAAGACCAAAATACTATAATGGACGAAAACACGATAAATTTTTTGAAAATAATCGCGCCAACACACTGTGAACATTTAATAACATTGTTAAACGAAAGTGATTAAGTGAAAGTGTCAAGTAATAAAGTAGCAAAATTGAAATCAAAGATTGTAAAATTCTGTCTTCGCTTTTACAGAGAATCTTATAGATTATGAAACACTATTATCTCTTAAAGAGAATATGATTTTGATAAATTGATTTATTTGTGACGCTCCACGATGAGGAATACCTATCGAGAAAAAAATTTTCAGGTTATGTTTGTTAATTTTAAAGTAAAAAAATCATAAAGAGAATTAATTTTCAGTGATAACTAATGATATTTAAATCTTAATTATATCTAAAACATTCAATAAGAATTAAATTAGTAAAATTAAATAAACAAATAATTTTATTAATATTCATGTGTAAATTTAATCAAATATGTAAAATATAAATGGTTATTTCACTATTAGAAAATAATTGCATTATCCAACTTAAAAGTAGTGATAACAAAAAAATAGACAGTTCACAAAACAAATTGGCTCCCCTATCCAACAGAATTGGATAGTACATCCAACATCTAAGAATCCAATTAAATTGGTTGTCCTGTCCAACTAAATAGATCGCGCTCCAGACACTATATAAAAGAGCTGGGGTATCCAACACATAGTATACTGTATCCAACTATTTTTCTGCGTGTAGACTCCAATGTTTTCAAAAATGTTTTGTTTACATTTTGTTAACCTAAATTTGACATTATTTTATCAATTTTCCACTTACCTTTTTTTGATGGAATAATATGTCCATTTGATTTTTTTGATATTGGTATAAACACCATAAAAATGTTGTTTTCTGCGTTTAAGTCAGAAAAAACCATAAAATACCATAAAAATTGGAGGAGGGTTGGGTCTGGGTTGAGTACCTTCTAATACCAACAAGAAGACCTACTAAGACTTACAACTTTTGTTTGAACAATTTTTTAAAATTTTGCGTTTTTTCGGACTTAAACGCAGAAAATAACATTTTTATGGTGTTTACCATAAATATGAGCTAGTAGCCAATTTCCACTATGATTTTCGTAATCAGCGTACCAAAATACATAAAGAAACTTTATTTTGTTAAAATTAGATGTCCTTTTAGTTGAGAGTATATTTTAGCCAATTTTTATGGTATTTTATGGTTTTTTGCATTTTTCTCTAAAACTAACAATTTTATGAAAAAATAGTTACAACAAAAAATGTTTATTTTTGTAAAGTCTATATCTTTTGTATGAAACATTTTTTGAAATTTTGCGTTTTACACGAGTTAAACGCAAAAACCACATTTTTATGTTGTTTTTTATGGTTTTTACCATGAGGATGACATAGTCGCCAATTTTCACTATGAGTTGCGTAATCAGGGTACACAATTACGTAAGTATACCAATTTTGAAAAGAATCGGAGCTATGTTGCTTTCGGAAGTGGACCCAAATTTTTTTATAAAAGTGATTTATTTTTATGTTTTGCTCTCTTTTTAAAAAATGTTGAGGTTATGTTTAAAATAACATTTTATAAAAAGTAAGTATATGAAGTGTATAACTCCTTTTTCTTTTTAAGCCAAGTATAATAAAGTAAAGATTTCCTTCTTTCTTGTGGCCTAATGGCTTTAAGCTTTATTTAAATTACATCAAAATTTTGACGCGTTCCGATGCAGTATTCTGCATCCTCATCAGAAAAAAACGGAACAAAACGTCTGTTAAAAGACAATATAATAGATACACAGATCTAATGACTCACACACAAATACATATGTTTTTGTAAAAATAAACATTATGTGTCTTAACATACGTACCAGACAAAATAAAAGTCAAAAAATAAATAAACATGGAACATTCAACATTCAGACATAACCTCAAAATAGGTCTGTCACTATTTCTTTAAACTCTTCATAAACGATAAAAGAAATCATAAAATGGTAAAAAACCACGTTTAGACAAACAATAGTAAAAACCTTTTATTATGTCACATGGAAAAATGTGAAAAAAACCTTTTTTAATAATTTTATTATTATATAATCTCATATAAAAAAGTTTTTTTCAAAAAAGGTTTTTACTATTGTTTGTCTAAACGTGGTTTTTTTACCATTTTATGATTTCTTTTATCGTTTATGAAGAGTTTAAAGAAATAGTGACAGACCTATTTTGAGGTTATGTCTGAATGTTCCATGTTTATTTATTTTTTGACTTTTATTTTGTCTGGTACGTATGTTAAGACACATAATGTTTATTTTTACAAAAACATATGTATCTGTGTGTGAGTCATTAGATCTGTGTATCTATTATATTGTCTTTTTACAGACGTTTTGTTCCGTTTTTTTCTGATGAGGATGCAGAATACTGCATCGAAACGCGTCAAAATTTTGATGTAATTTAAATAAAGTTTAAAGCCATTAGGCCACAAGAAAGAAGGAAATCTTTACTTTTTTATAACATTTTATAATCAGGTAAAATTCAATAATTACTTTTATTAAAATGGATATATAAAATAAATTTATAATTTTTAAACTTATGTGTGTATATTTACTTACGTTTGTTGGTCAATTTTTGAAGGGATCTAAATTTTTTCATTCTATCTCGAGTTTGTTCGCGTTTTCTTTTGGTTTTAGCATCATCCATTTTTTAAAAATATAGTTTGACAACTTGGGTAAATAGATAAAATTTAATTAATAATAGATTTTAATATAATTAAATAAATAAATA